TCTTTATATACAGTCAGTGATCATCTTTATATACAGTCAGTGATCGTCTTTATATACAGTCAGTGATCATGTTTATATACAGTCAGTGATCATCTTTATATACAGTCAGTGATCATGTTTATATACAGTCAGTGATCATCTTTATATACAGTCAGTGATCATCTTTATATACAGTCAGTGATCATCTTTATATACAGTCAGTGATGGTCTTTATATACAGTCAGTGATCATCTTTATATACAGTCAGTGATCATCTTTATATACAGTCAGTGATCATCTTTATATACAGTCAGTGATCATGTTTATATACAGTCAGTGATGGTCTGATGGTATCGGTGTTAATCGCTTTGTTAGTAGTACTGCAGTATCAGTGGTACTCACAGTATCAGCAGTACTCACAGTATTAGGAGTAACTACAATATCAGTAATACTACAAGTAGCATTGTTACTCGCAGTATCAGTAGTACTCCCAGTATAAGTAGTACTCCCAGTATCAGCATTAAGCCCAGTATCAGCAGTAATTACAAGTACCAGTGTTACTCGCAGTACCAGCAGTACTGCAGTGTTAGCTATGTTAACCAGGCTAACTGCCCCGCTATGTTAGCATCTTTTTCCAGACCAGATCCAAAACATCTGCTTTTCTCCCCCGTGTTTCAGCCCCTCTTCCTCCCGGTGCCCCTGAAGCCAGTGACCGTCACCGGTGAGTCCACTGAGCCTCCGAGCGCCGACATCCCACCACAACAAACGGACAGTGCGGAGCTAAGCTAGCGGCTAGCAGCGAGGCCGTTCTTACCTTCCCGGTTCGGAGGAAACAAAGTCCGCCACAGACAGCGGCGGCTTCACGGGATCATCACCGGGGAAACACACGGTGCCGGTTAACGAGTCGCTACAGACGGAGGAGGCTTCTCATGTTTCCGGACAGAGCGGGAAAAGTTTCTCAAAGTCCGGGGAACTTTTAACTCGCTCTTATTGTTATGGAAGAACCGCTGTTGTGGACCGCCATCTTGTTTCTGTGTGTCACTGCGAGGAGAGGTACGAGTACAGTAAAGTAACGCGTTACAGTTACTGCGAGTACATGTACTTAATAATACCAGAGGATCGAAGTACCCGCGACGAGACACAGGACTCCTCTCTGCTGTTTCATTTTCACACTGTATACATTCAGTTCGTGTATACATCAATGTATAAATGCAGTTATTACAATTTAATATGGCGCTGTGACAGAGTACTACAGTATATCAGTACTACAGTATGTCAGTACTACAGTACCACAGTCAGATGAGACTACACATGTAGTAGAAAAGAATACACCGGGAAGAGCATCAGAAAAAACGATGTTTAAAATTGAAGTGAAGATAAAAATAAAAGTAAATGTATGAGTGTAACGTAAATCAAATTAAAATAAATGTAACCGATATAACTTTTAATCTTTTCAACTGATTTAGAGTTAAAGACAATTTAAAAGTTTGTCAAACAATAAGCACAACAACAAAAAGATCATT